GGCGTGTGCGGGCCCCCGCGGCCCGCTCGGCCCCTCCTGGCTTCCTACGTGGCCGCCTCTGACCCTGCAACATCGAAAGGGAACCAGGCGAAGCGCTGGCGGCTCCGCAGTTACTGAGTAGCCAGAACCGCGCTGGCAGCGCCTGGACGGTGGCTGCGCACCCACCCGCGGAGAGAGGAGGAGGAGGAGAGCCCGTGGCTCTTAGCCAGAGCTCCCAGTCCCTGCTCAGTTGACGGGCAGGTGTCGATAAGACAGGTCAGATGTAAAGAAGACAAAGCCAGGTAAGGGAGTATGAAAATGTCACAGTGGAAAATGAACTTTGCTTGCTGCAATAACATGACATCTTTTTCTCTCAAAAATCCATAGTTCCTGCTGGGGGTAGGCCTTAGGACACAGGATAGGTGCGTTCTGTTTCCTCTGGAGATGCGCCATGCTTTGTCCCTACATTAAGAACAGCTCTTGTGGGTTTGTACTAAAGATTTTCTGACTAGACTATAAACTGTGTGGATTCTACCATGACTGTTCTGCAGAACTAGCAGGTGACAACCCAACCAAGGAAGGACTGTGTGGCAAATCGAAGAAAAGCTGCTTCTACTTATCTTGTAGCAGATTTACAATTTTAAAGCCACATGAAGGGTTCGATTCACCTGAGTGGCCGCTGGCTGAGGCCCAGGGCTCACTGTTTAAGCTTTACAGGAACTACATTACTCTGCTACAGACCAGAGTCCTGCTGGAAACACGCCGCTGCATGAGTACAGCTCCCCTGCACACCGACCAGCTCACATCCAGCCGAGGGTTTATTGCTGAAACACGCCTCATGGCTCCCACTAGCCAGGCAGCTTGGACCTCTGAGCTCTGGAGTAGCACCCGTGTTTGAGATAGCAGCAGCCCTTGTCCTGTGCTGCCTTCCATAGCCATGCAACTCCTCTCTGGCCTGGACTGCAACCACTCCATAACTTTTAAATTTGATTTATTTGTAGGTCTTTTGATGTGAATCTTCATGCTGTGCTTCATGTTTCCCAGGTGAGGAGGAATTGTCCCTGCAGTCGTCTCCCTGAGTAGCAGTAACTAAGTTGTCCCACACAGCAGAGATAAGTGTCCCCCGTGGAGGTAAAGGGACCATGATCCAAAGTCCACCTGACAATCTGCATGCGCAGCCCCTTCCCTCCCTTACTCTGACTCTCTCTAAGTGGGAGGCAGTGAGGACTGACCTCTTGCTGCTATTTTTGCTCTTCTGGCTACCGTAATAGCCCAGCAAGATTCCTACTGAATGAAATACTGATTTATCCTTACAATTCTGGTATCCCTTTTTTTTTTTTTTCTTTCTCCCTTCCCAGATCGTGGCTCGGCAGATGATTGCCCAAGGCGTGCCAGGTGCCATTGTCAACGTCTCGAGCCAGGCGTCTCAGCGCGCTCTGCGGGATCACGCTGTGTACTGTGAGTAGGTGTAGCTTTAGCAGTGCCCCCTCTCTTTTGACTAGCTGGAACCCCACAGCCACTGAGCTCTGGTTGCCGTTTCTGGGCAGTGAAATGTTTCTCTGCGTTCCCGACCAAGTGCCGTGCACTTAAATGCCTCTTGTTCTCCCCTTCTCCTGAGGTTCCACAAAAAGTGCTTTGGATATGCTGACCAAGGTAATGGCATTGGAACTGGGACCCCACAAGGTAGGACGGAGTCTTTCTGAGAAGGGAAAGCGCTAAAGCTGAACCTGAGCATTTCCTCTCAGAGCAGTCTGCTTAGATTGTTTGTTGCTCCTGGTCCCAGATTAGGGTGAACACTGTGAACCCCACGGTGGTTATGACTGATATGGGGAGAATTAACTGGAGTGACCCTCAGAAATCTGCTGCCATGATTAATCGGATCCCGTTGGGGAAGTTTGCAGGTCAGTGGTGTGGACTTGTTGCCAGGCTGGGGCTTTTGGGTCAAGTCGCAACTGCGGAGGGGCTGTGGCTGAACTCCTGCAGCATTTCACGAGGACAGGGCAAGAATCAACCTTCTTTCCCCTCTTCTGCAGCCTCCTCCACCTGGGACAGGTGAAATGCCCTGACTGTTATGAACGAGGGCGGGGGCGCTTGCTTTGTACCCCGTGCCATCTGGTCACACATGGGCTGCGTGACCCCAGCTCTCAGCCGCGCTGCCCCTGCCCGGCAGCGACCTCTGTGTGGGGCCAGAGGCAGATCCCTGCTCCCGCTACACGTGGAGGCCAGAGGCACACCTCCTGGGGTGCTTGTTTTTCTAGCACAAATTGAGGGGTGCATGGGATGTTCTCTGTGTTTGATTCCAGAGGTGGATGATGTGGTGAACAGCATTCTCTTCCTGCTGAGTGACAGGAGTGCTATGACAACTGGCAGCTCACTGGTGGTTGACGGGGGATTTCTCGTCTCCTAAGATGACACCTGCACTTCACACCTGGCCTTAACCTTCACACTAGTACTGCATAGATGTAAACTGGATAGAAAACAATGACACAGACCCAGTCTTGCTGGAGAAGAGGGGCAGCAGGGCTGGAACCTGTATGAGAAGTGAGGCAGATTACCTTTAGAAGCTGCTATATAATAAAGCTCACATACGCCGTCATGGAGAATGTTTATTGCACCAAATAAGGTTTTATCTTGTCACTCTACATGATGATTAGAAATTGGACCTGTCTTTCTTCCAACCCTATTCCCCCCCCCACAACCCTTCAGAAGCTCTCCCTGTTCCTTCCAAAGCCATAGAGCCCGCCTGCACTTTCAGTGGGAAGGGAAAGAAGAAGTTAGCAGACTCCTCATTGCTTCCTTTGCTGTCTTTAGTAGAAAAAAACAAAACAGAGGCAACAACCACAGCCCTGCTCTGCAGAGACTGGATCTGGGGGGGGAGGCCCTGCTAAAGACCGATGAGGGGGAGCAGCACCACGCTGTCCTATGGTGTGCACACACGAAAAGGCAAATACATCGATTGCACAGAGCTGTTTCACTCACTGAGTTTGGCTCGTACCCAATAAAGCACCTAATGATTAGTTTTCCAGCTTTGTATCTTTTACTTTGCCCCCTTCCGGGGCTGGTTATGATTTCTGTAACAGTCTCAGGCACATATCAGCTAGAGCACCAGTTTGTTAACTGTTAGCCACATTGGCTGGGCAAGGAGACCGTACTGCTGTCCCGGCTGCTCTTGCCCTTCAGCACCGTTCTTATTGGCTCCCTCCCTGCTCCCACAAGGGCCTTCGCCGCCTGTTGCACCTGCAGGTTGAAACCAGGGCTTCCCAGGACAGGGTGGATGTCTCAGCCCTTTCCAGCTGGGAGTTCAGGAGAGCCAGAACAGCCTGTTGCCCCAAGGCGCTGCCTTGCCTTCCCCATTGTACCTCCCCTGGGGGCTGTACAGCCCCCAGCTGGTCTCCTGCCCCCGCTGCCCCTTCACATCAACACTGACGTTAAATCAAAGAGACATTTAAAAAACACTGACTTCGTACATGATGAAGGGCCCTACACATCCCAGCCCCCTCCGGAAACACCCAGCTAATATGCAATCTGTCAGAGGATGACAACATGCTGAGCCAGCACCTAGGCCACAGCCCTCAAAACACGGTGCACTTTTTGCCGGGCTTCTTCACGGGCGGCGGGCAGAGCACAGCCCGGATGGCTTCATCAAACACCGTCTTCAAGCCCCGCTGCGTCAGGGCAGAGCACTCGAGGTACTTTACCGACCCTGGGGGAAAGAGAGCTCCAGATCAACCACTCCAGTCCCACCAGGACATATTGCCCTCACCCACTCCAAAATGAAAGCCCCGATGCTGCGGAGATCTGCCAGCACTGAGACTCACCAATCTCCCGAGCCATGGCCAAACCTTGGGGGTAGGTGATGGGGGCCAGTTTCTTATCACGTAACCTTTCAATGGTGTCCTTGTCATCCCTCAAGTCCAGCTTGGTGCCCACCAGGATGATGGGTGTATTTGGGCAATGGTGTCGGACCTCGGGGTACCACTGAAACGGAGAGGCATGGTAAGAAAAGTAGCTCTAGTAGTAGATGTTAACTAGGAGGATGCATTTACTATTGGGAATAAGGTTTTTACTCCTATCTGACACGGTGGCAACACCTGAACAGGATACTTCTGCCTACAGTTCTGGGTGTGCGCTGCAGAAAGAGATTGGTGCAGATGTAACACCGAAGGCACCGAGACATGGAATCGTGACAGACAGTGCCAGCCAACTCTGCACCCAGGGCTTCCCTTAACTGCATTTTAGCTTCTAGGACAGCCCTTCTTTAAGATGCAGATTCAAAAAGGCAAAAATTTAGCCAAAGAAGTAACAAATAAAAAGTAGGCCCCTCTTAAACCTGCAGGCTATGACCTTCCCTTATCAAAACATGACTGCTTGAAATTTGGGGCTCGTAGGTGTGGTGCTGAGTGAGGCAGGGGACTTCCCTGGTTCCTCCCTTCCACTGTTTCACCCAGAAGGAGAATACTTTACCTTGGCTCTGACATTCTCAAAGGAGGCTGGACTCACAAGGGAGAAGCAGATCAAGAAAACATCCTGTGCAGAAACAAGAAGGTCAGCCAGGTAGAAAGAAACAGCTAGAGATAATGGAGAGAGAGTGGAGAGGGAGCCTTACAGAAGACAACCTCCTCCCACCCATAACTAATTCAGAGAGGGAAGGAACAGACTTTGTGTGTATAACTTCATCTTCTTTTACAATAACAGGCTCTGCATGTCAAGAGCCTGGGGCGACAAATACCATAACGGTGCTATGGGCTTCACCCCTGGTTGGGGCCACGTAGGAACTGCTGCGGCCAAAGAAACACAACTGGTGCAGCCTGACAGGGAGCTCTGATGCCCAGAGAGCCCGGGAACATGGCTCAGCTGCAGAGCAGCCCCACACCACTCCTTCCACTCGAGCCTCCCTCTGGCCAGCGTAGCTGTTCGAACACCACTACGAAGCAGAGACTAGAACAGGAAAACCTCTCGGGAGGAATTCAGCTGCAATACTTCAACCAACCAGAGGTACAGCTGCAGCTGCTGGGACTCAAGACTTTCCCCGAAGGAGAGGAGCCTGGCTGGCCTTGGGAGCCTCCCCGTCTCCAAGAGGGACCAGCTACAGGCCAGCCCGAGCCCAGCACTCACCGTCTGTGGATAGGAAAGAGGCCGCAGTCGGTCATAATCCTCTTGCCCAGCAGTATCCCAGAGGCCTAGGTTCACTGGCTTTCCATCTACCATGACATTGGCAGAATAGTTATCAAACCTGCCAAGGAAGAGTCCCCATCAGTGACAACCTTGCTGTGACCCCCCCCATCCCTCTACACAAAACCCAAGGGGGCAGAGGGTCAGGAGAGGGCACTGCGACAGCTCCCGGGGTGACACTCTGCCCCCCTCACTACACAGCCCTACCCCTGCCTGACGGTCACGGCCCGAGCTGGGCAGCTTCCTCCTTACCCACAAACCCAAAAAACTTTTATACACGTGTAATCACAGAGCAACCAAGGCCGCTACTCACACAGTGGGGATGTATTCTCCAGGAAAGGCATTTGTGGTGTAACTGATCAGCAAGCAGGTCTTCCCTACAGCTCTGCAGGGGATAAGACAAGCATAAGGAAGGGCAAAGCAGGAAGCACAGAGGCAGTAGAACTCACCCTTCCCCACCCAAAAAAGAGATTCAGTAAAAAATTACCGTGTGAGAAAACAAACCTGTAGCAGGCTGGAATTCTCCAACTGTCAGGGAACAGGCCTGAACTCACAACATGCACCTTGCCTGAGCTCCCACTCCTTTTCCCCACCCATGCAGCCTCAGCAAAACACCAGGCAGAATATATTTATTCCCAGAATCAGAAGAAAAGGAATAAATTAGGGTTCTGTGCTGGGCTGAACACATTCATAGTAAACTAGCAAAATGGGTTAAACAGTGAGGTGAAAGAAGACAGAATTATTCAAGCTCTTCAAATACTGGATAACAAATACAGAATGTCAATAAATACAAAGGGGAAAAAATAAGTATCCGTAAACAAAAATTAACTTTAAAGTCGATCACTGTTGGTTTGGAGAGGGGTCAGTGCCGATCACCGGCGGATGGGCGCAGGGCCTTGCTGAGGGCAGGAGGGTGGGACAGGCCGGGGTGGCAGCCGGCAGGGCTGGGCTGGCTCAGCCCACCAGCACGCGGAAAGGCTCAGTGACAGAACAGGGGAGGACCAGGGGTGTGAACAGCCCATCTGGCACCGCGGAAGTTGCGAACTGCGGGCAACCTTCCAGAGAAACAGATCGCAAGTGCCAGTGCCGGGGAAAGCTCCCTCGGTACCCGGGCGAGGCAGCACCGCCAGAGACGGGTGTGCCCTGCCCAGTTCTGCTACTGGAATGATGGAAGACTCAGGAGCAAGCGAGGGGACCTCACAGTCCCGCACCAGGACGACACGTGAGAACCATGGCAGTCATCCACCCCTCTTCTCCCCTGGGTCCGGTCGCCTCTCCTGGAGAGCAAGGGGGTTGTGTAAGGAGCAGCCACACCAACCAGCCTGGCTCTGCCCCGGAACCGCCACCTCTCTCCCACCGAACGGGGAAGTCACATAATTCACAAAACCACACGTATCTGTGACCAAACTGGTTTGGCATCCAAGTTCATTTAGTCTCTGTGCCGTCAATTTGGTCTTAAAGCAAAACCCTGGGCTGCAAACCTCCCACTAAAGCCCATTTCCACATGCTGGGCGGCTCTTCCTCTGCTCCCCTCTCCAGCCCCCCAGGTCAGAACCGGGAAGGCCTTGCTCCGAACGGGTGTCTGAGAGGAGGACGCACTGTCTGCCTACGACCAGTTCGCATCTTGCTGCACCTCAGCTCTGTGCTTGCTGTGGTGACCAGAAAAACAAACAGGAATTATGGGGAAAAACATGCAGGACAAGCTAGAAAGTTATGAAGCACCATAAACCTAAAACTGCGGGCCTGCGCCTCACACACAGACGCGTCCTCTGCAAAAGGCATGCAGGAAAAGCCTAAAGAAAAGCGCAAGAAGGGTGACAAGAGGCACATGGTGAATCGGAAGCCGCAGCGTATTCCACCTTGGAACACAAACAACAAAAGCTGGGATGAGAAAAACCTGCGAACACCCAGATTTTTAGGGAGAACTTTGTGATGAATCAGGCTCCTACGATGAAAACCAGCGGAGCGCAGGCACCTAACCGAACCCCGGGGAGGAGGATTCAAGGCCCGCGATCAGCAGGAATTCGCTCTCCGGGCGCTGCAGCTCCAAGCGAGACCCAACAGCGTCAAGGCCCGAGACCCAAGTTCACCAGCTCCGGCGGAGCGGGACGCGCTGGGCCGGGCCGCGGCGGCCGCCGCTGCAGCGAGGCCCCG